TGACTTCCACGGCATCGTCGAGCTCTCATTTGGTGCCCCCACCAAAACCACCCCCACTGCGGACCAATTCGTGATAATTGGGTCCGAGGGTTGGCTGACAGTCAATTCCGCCAACGTCGAAGGAACAGGGCAGGTTCTACGTATTCTGGTTAAACGGGCAGTGAAGGTCGAGGGAAAACCGACTGAAGAGGTGGAAGAAATAATCGAAAAGCCGAAGATAGGTGTCGAGGCGGAGTTCGGGAGCTTCTTTGACGCGATTCGCGGCAAAGAAACACTGGATATTGGTGACCCCCTCACCGCTTTGGGCGACGTTGCGTTCATCCAGGCTGGATTGAACAGTGGAGGAGCCTCGATTGATTTAGTGAAGTTAGTGTCCGATGGGAAATAAGGACGTGATTCTCTGGTAATGTAACAACTTTAACCTGAAATTTATCTCGACTGTTTTTCCAACTTGCAATCATTATCAGGATATTCCAGGTTGTAGAATTGAAATACAGAAGGATCAATTTACGGCTACGACTCAGTCATCGGTTCAGCAGCTTTCACCTGTTCAACGGCTTCTTGGAAATCTGCAATCTCTGACGCGCTTTTCATGGCTCCTCCCCATCTGACGATGCCTTGGCTGTCCACCGCGAAGCTTCCCGAAGTCTGCCATCTGTTTCCGCTTTGCGTCGGCCTGTTCCATATTCCCTCGTCCTTCCCGAGGCGATATACCGCCCACAAACCCGCAGGACTCAGAAAGTGGCTGAAGGTTGAGACTTGCAGTCCCCACAGTCCAAACAATTCTCGTTCGGCATCAACGATAATTTGAACCTGATGGGATCCGCCGACGGCCACGAGCCATGTTTCAGTTGAAGCCTGGTCACTCTGCGAAACAGCGATGAAGTGGATGTCTGGCATGCGCTCCGCCATTGCACGCAAGTTTTGAACGTCTTCTCTGCAACTGTATCGTTTGCTCACTAATTGTTGCGTCGTAATTTTATGGAACATACACGGGCATCCGCAATGGCGCAAGAGTGTTATAACGGTGGCGCGTTTGTCTGGATTTGGTAGTCGTAGGAGGTCTGATGAGGGTGCTCTCATTCCCGGCTTTGGAGGCGGCTGAGTCGATTTTTCGGCCGGGATGCACAATGAACTGAATTCTTGGAAGAGCGTCATCCGAATTCCGGTGCCACGTCCAGGCGAAAGATGATGGGGAATGTCGAAGTACTTCCGCTCTCTTTATAGGCATTGTGTGAGACGAGACTGCCTATTTGGCCTTTTCGGCCCGTCGGAAGCAGCGGATAAATCCATTGTGAATTCAAGCGTTTTTCGCTTGTTTTCTCGATTCTCTTTTCTTTTTTTACCTCTGATTACACTAACGCTCTTGAGGTTTGGAAGACGACGGCTTCGAAGTTCGGCGATGGGCTCAACGCAATCTTCACCTGGACCTGGAGTATAATAGAGGCGCGTAACTGCAAAACGGATGGCGGATGACCCGATAAGTAATCGATCCATATAGGCAAAGGCACCCTTCCCGATTTCGTTGAAATCAAATGAAAACAAACTTCCGTTTTCGAACAAAGACCTTGGTCGGAGTTTGCCGAGATAGTTCAAAGGTGTACCATCAGTGGCATTTTCGCACACTCCCACTTGACTTGGACCACCATGGACGGCGCGCCGCACGAAATTCTGCTAGAGATCCTGTCTCCTTTACTCAAGTATTCCGACGGGGACTTCTCAGATACTTCGGAGAAACCGATCCTACGGCCTGCCTCATCGACTTCATCCTACCTTCTCGTTTCCAAACAGTGGCTACAGGTTGCCACTCCACTGCTATACCATACGGTCATCTTGCGTACTACAGCGCAGGCTGCAGCTCTTGCTTATGCACTCGAGAGCAATCCTGAAATGGGCACCTGTATAAAAAGACTCCGCATCGAGGGCGGGTTTGGGAAGTCTATGCTCACCATTTTCAAATCCGCTCCCAACATTGTCGACTTGTATTTCACTCTGATTCTGTCGGCTTCCGAAGATTCGCGCAGTCTGTCCCATGGTCTTGCTATCGTTCGTCCGCGGCGTGTCATACTGTTCGATGCGGTCGATGATCACCACTCTGAGACTCAAAAACCAAGAGCGAACAAACAGGTAACACAACTGTTCGACGCGCTGTGCGACCAGGTCCCAAAGTGGAATACTTTGGTAAATAACGTCTAGATCTTATGTCTGAAAGACTTAAAGATCGGTTGCAGCTATCATTTGTCTTTCCATATGTGGGCATGGGCGGTTATCGCTCTCACTACCTCTCTGGACGTGCAGCACAACTGGCCGCTGCCCTGGCAAAATCACCCACGATTCAATACGTTGATGTTGGGATTGGACGAATATGGCCCACGCATCTCGACCAGCTCTTCACTGCGCCGTCATTCAGGCTTCTTCGTTGTTACGAAACTAGATATACTACAAACACTGGTCATGAAGATTTCATTGCCAGCGCTTCCCAATCTAGTTTCTTGGGCAAACTTCACGTTCCTGAGTACGTTGTCGTGGTCATGATCCCATGACTCTCCTTAACGTTTCGCAGAATGAAGCCCTCACCCTTCCAGATTGTGGGCGACACCATAGTACGCGTGAGGCCCGTTTCACCATCGTCCTCCTCGGACGGATCCGAAGAGCACGAGGGTGACATTGAACCTCCACAAAAAAAGAGATTTTTGAACAGAGCAGGAGACCTTGTCTCGTTACAAACGCTTGTCGCCTCCCCTGCCGCGTCTACCTTGGAAGATTTAGACGTGGACAATTCCTATGTTCGGTCCACGGGTAAGGAGTCTAGTGCAAACCCGACAATTCTAGCCGCCTTTCCTGCGCTCGTATATTTACGTTGGAGAATTGATGGGAAATCCTGGTTCACGAAACCTGACCGAGATTTTCGGGCTCTCGAGAATTTGAAAGTTCTCGAGGTGGGAGGCTCTAATGTAGCATCAATCCTCAATCTGGTCGAACCTCTCGAGTACGTAGCTTCAAAATTCCCTGTTTTCTTTCGCGCTGATCTGACTATACCTGTACTCAGACTCCCCGCTTTGAGCAAGCTAGTCTTCAATTTCAACCGAAACTCAATCTTTCCACTACTGTCCACTTTCGTGAAGAAACATGGCAATAAACTCTTGTCAGTAGCGACCAACATGGAGTTCATAATGGAAGCGAAGGTATTGGATCTTTGTCCAAACCTCGAAATGTTGGGCGTGCATTCAGTTTCTCGAAATCTTCCGGTCGAGAGGAGGGTGTGTTTGCTTCTTTTATTTCTGACTCCCCTGCTTTCTTTGCTGATTCGAACCTGATCTTCAATATCTTAGTCGGTTTCCCCCGACTTCTTCTCTTCCAAGACGCACGCTGCGCTCAAGAAAGTTCATTTCGATATCTGCCGCCTGTGCCTATTGTCCTCCGATTATATTGCTCCCAGATTCTGATTTGGACTTTATTTCTGATAGAGACCGCCATCAAGGGCCCAGATTGGAGCAATCGCTCGAAGGGCTTGATCCCGTGAACTTCCCGGCATTGGAGGAGATACAGCTTGATGCCATCCAGTGGCCGACTGCCGAGTACGTCTATTTGATAACCATGTTCTCCTCCGTACTTTTTTTCTCTTGCTATTCTTCCTCTCCAAACAACAAACGCTGATTTCTTCGTTGTTCAGACGGGACATTGCTAAAAACAAATCCGTCGCCCTATTCGAACTCTTACGCGGAAAGGGCATCAAACTCGTAGACGGGCGTGGTGTGAGTTGTGTGGTTCGCGAGAGAGCCTGAAGCCTGAAGATGATGATATGTTGTATTACTACAAAATCATACAAGTAGATGAACTCGAACGTTCTCCCGTGGATCAGGCGGGAATATGAATTCATGAACAACAACTTCCTGGCCGTCGGCCTCAGACTCTCTAGATCTGAACGAGATCCTCATTCTCGAAGACGCAGGCGCGACAAGGCAGGTCATATCCTGCCACTCTCCAAAAAGATTCTGCTGCTCGACGACAATCGGCTCCGTCTTCCAATCCAAGATGGAATTTTTGCTGCGGCCATACCGCCCGATGTAGACGTTGAAGATATAGGGGGCGTCGGCTGGATAAGGCGATGTGGGGAACATCGGGTGATAAAACAGCCTATACTTCGACCCGACGTCAATGTATTTGAGTGTAGCGTTTGGTGGGGGCATATCGGGCTGGAATTAAATTGTCGTTAACAACTTTCATTGTTAAATGCCAACTTGAAGAGAAGAGTCGCGCACGTACGCCGAAAATTAACCCCGAGGAAAGAGCTTCTCCCCTCGCTTGAAAGCTCTCGAGAGCACGCTCGACACTACCCTCAATATCGACCTCGCGTTCCGCGTTGATTGCTTTCCGGAATGCAGATTTGCGGCCGTCGCGAGAGGTTTCCTGCCCTAGAAAGGCGCGCGAAACCACTTCGTCGACTTCAGGGGTGTACAGAGGATATCCTTGCCGCTGCTTGAAAATTTAATGAGTCTATGGAATTGAACTGGAGAGGATAGTGTAGACACCTCATGGAATACGGCATTAGTATGACTGCGTGAAGACATGGCTGGCTTGAAGCAAGCGAGCTCCTAAACGACATGGCTGTTTGTGGTTGAAGTTCGGGCATCTCGGGATTGTTCAGCTACGGCGCACAATGCAGGCGCTGCTCATTATGCTCAAGGTATAGACACAGACGCGAGGGCTTTCACAATACAAAGATAATACTGCTAGTACTTAGCTCCCCGTCGCATGAATTCCGAGTTCAATGCCAGAGCAAGACAAAAACTCTTGGGTATTCATCCTGACAAGTGATTATCAGGTTGAATATAGCACCGCCCTCCGAGCAGACCTGCTTACTCCGTGTAAGGTCAGAGCATTCTGATTCGCTCAGCGTAAGGTTAACAAAAACGTGCAACGTGGTCTTGATCACCAGAGGTAGAATGAAATGTTCATCGAATAGTGTCACGAACGAAAAAGAGTGAAAATTCTTCTTATGCATTAAGGGGGAATCGAACCCCCGGCGGGTCGAGTGCTGAGAATAATCAGTTGGTGGCAACGACCCAGGTTACCACTACCCCATTAATGCAGTGCTAAGGTTCTCATCGCAGGGGAATTACACCGTTTCTTGCGGCTCAATACATGATTTCTTCCTCTTTCGTTCAACTCGAAAACGATGCCAGAATTGTTGCGCGATCGGGGTGGATAGAAGAGGCAGAGGAAGCAGCTGCGAAAGATAGCGGCCTCGGACAAGCAGGTACACAGTCAATTTCGAGGCGACCGATAGTCAAGAATGGACTCGATAGACGTTTTAGCGACTTGTCGAATCACGCATAACAGATGAACACAGGCACATTGAAACAGGTCTGTTGTCGTGGAAGGACTGGGGGAGGTGCATGATAGGGCACGGTCTTGGGAGGCGGCGCAAGCATTTCGTACATAGTAGTTGACACATGGATGATGGCCGCAGGATCCGGGCTTGGTGACGGCTTGAAAGGACAGGAAGGTTGTCGGCGCCGTAGGATTAGTGGACGTTTCCGATGCGATGCCCGTATATCTTAAGACGAGAGCATAATAATCGGCGACGAGGTGTCGGGGAGCGGGAGCGGGTAAACAATAGGGTAAGGCTGCAACATCACCAAAACCGGGAAAAGTTGATAATGCAATATCAAGCCTTATTAGGGTCGTCAAGCACATCACGCTCATCTGCGTGATGAAGAACACATCGGGCCTTTTGAAAGATCTAAGTCCCTGATAAGGGGCATTAACTTGATGAAGATACATCACGATGGTGTCGATAGACCACACTGTAGCACAATATATGACTTTGCATCGTCGTCGAAACACGCTGAATCGCGGCAAAAAATAGTAAAGAAATGATATATATTGCGGAGTACTATAGGAACAAAGCCAAAAAAACACAGAGAGCGTCGTTGGAAGCGGGGGATGAGGGATGTGAGGGGGAGGGTGTCGAGCATCAAGGTTGAGCAATTGTCGCATCTTGACTTTGAACAGTGATACTTGACAACTTGAGAGGGGCTTGCGACCGGCGGCTTGCTTGATCCAGGACGCGGGAGACGTAACCAATTTGACGATACTTGAAGAAGAGTTGTTACGCGGCAGAGCAAGTTAAGAAAGGCAGAGCGGAGGAACTGCTTGCAGGTCAAGACTTGAAGGTAGACGACAAGGTGACTTGATGTTCGACGAGAGGAGAACGGAAGGGCTTGAGACTTGGCAGTGCTTGAGGTTGAAGGTTTCGACGAAATTGAAGGGCGCCGGAGAGATTACAATGTGACTTGACGTCCGACGAGTGCAGAACGGAAGGGCCTGAGACTTGGAAGTCCTTGAGGTTGAAGGTTGAGGGGTGTTGACGAGATTGAAGGGCAGCGGAGAGACAGAAGGACTTGAAGCAGCAGACCCGTGGTATTGACGTGGTACAACGGGCTGTATGTTGTGTTGTGAGTATCCCTGAGCCGCTCGTTCGGTGAGATAGGGTCCTGGCGTTGAGCGGCGAGCACAGGGAGAGGAGAAAGACGGGGGAAGGTGGGGGAAGAGGACAAGGAGTGGCGTGATCGATATCAACATGTTGATGTGTTTGCTGTTCCCGCGCACGGACCTCACATCAAATGATCAACACTGTTGATCGTTGCCCCGCCCTCTCGCAGCGTCTCGCCCCGCCAACGCTCCGCGACGAGACCCAGCGAGACCCTCCCATTGTAGTACTGTACCACTGTAAATTCTACCTGCGCAGATGCGGAAATATACTGCTCCAATAAACCTGAGTTAATTGAGGGATTCTCGGCATCGACAAGATTGCCGTGAGCCACGAATATCCTACAGTAGCAGGTAGGTCAAATTCATGGCCAGATACCAAGATAATATCATATCGAAAGGCCTTACTTGAGGAACATCAAGCTGATATTGAGTTGCAATGCAATTTCAGCCAGGTGACCGCGTTGAAAGGCGTGATGAGACCCATCACGCGTGATGATCTATATCGGGGCATATAAAAAATCCCCGGTTTTGGTGATGAAAGACAAGCAGTTAGCAGGCGAAGAAGTGAAAAACAGAAGTCGAAAGCACACCGTTAGGTACTGTAGTGCTCCGCTCCTCCGCTACCTCATCATCGACGCGTCGAAGGCCAACCGTGGTTATAGATTGACGGTGAGACTTGACATAGCTTGATTTCAGGTACTACCGTCAGTCGTTGAGCGGCGTCAGAGTGAGCTGCATCGCATAAAGTGGGAGGTAAGAGCCACAACTGGGCGGGACGAATGAGGCTGGTGGACGAAGGTCAAGGGGTTATGATGTGAGAACGAGAAACATACAACTGAGCGGCGGCGAAGCACTGCGTTGCTCGTCAACGTCACCACCAAGTTTAAAATGTGACTCGAGGAGCGAGCAGCCGTCTGACGTCGTCGGGCGGGCGGTATGGTGGTGAGTTGCCTGCAAATTCTGGGGCAATATTGTTCTTTGTAAGCTTACTGTCCTGCAAAAGGGTCAGTGACGATCAAGGAGTACTATCAAGAAGACGCAAAAGAAACAAGAAAGCCAGCAGAAACGCACCTTTATTGAACTCGAGCTCGCATCACCGGATTGCAAACCACATTGGCTGTGAGCTTAGCATTACAGTTCGTTTGAAGGTCGCATCAATGGCGATGCGGTCTGTGGTAGTCGTTGACGGCGAAAGAGTCGGCCTGGATGAAATGCAATGAATATTGAACGGGGAAGGGCGCTTGAGGAGGAAGAAGAAAGGAGCGAAAAACTTCCTATTCGCATCAGCAATTCCTGGGCCCTCTATGTAGCGCTACGTAGCGTCTGTAGAGCCCTGTAGTTGCTGTAGTTACTGTAGACAAGGGTACCCTATATATAGAGCTTCGTAGAAGGCCGAAATTTACATAGTTCTCTGTAGAGGCACTGTAGAGACCCTGTAGAACCTCGTAGATTTTGCCCGCCACAGTAAAAAAAATGAAAAACCATTTTCCGCCGCTCAGGCAAGGGACAAAGAAATACGAGCAAGAATATGTATATTGTTAGGGATACGATACATTATACTCGACAGATAAAGAAAACCGCGAAAAACAGCACTGCGAGCTGCGGGACAAAGAGCATTCATTAAGCAGACTGTTTCATTCAAGCAGAAGGTACTCACCAATTGACTACCGACGCCCTTGCAACATTGAGACAAGGCAATCGGCGGCGTCCAGAGCTGCTTGAGTGGGCAAGAAGGCGAAGCGCCTCCCACAGGGACGCGGTAAACAACCGAATGGTTTGATGCAAGCGCTGATGAGAAAGGTAAGGAACAGACGCAGTTAGACAGAAAAAAGAACGTACCCTGGGAGCACAATATCATCAGAAAAACACATACTAAAGATCTACAACATAATCAGTTGGAGGTATAAGAAAGAGTATTGTGGTGAACATACCAAAAAAGAGCTCGAGCGATGATGCCCAGGGCTCGATAACCAGTACCTTAGTAAGTAGAAGACCGATTCAGCGGTGGACAAACTTGCCTAGCTCCGAGGAGCGACATATCCTCCAAGATACAAGGAATAGAGTTTAGAATGCAGCAGAGGTGCGATGGAAAATTACCGCTTCGTACGAGACCTAAAATCGAAACTGGAAGGTTGAGAAGTTGACAGTGAAAGAGAAAATGAGAAGGCTTATAGCCGCGCGCACCGGAATGCCCCCGTCGCACCAATGGCCATGTGCCAATGCCGTCGCAGGCTCGACGATGCACTTGAAACTGAGGTGCCACGCTGATGACATTGCCGAAGATGGAGATAGAGAAGAGTGGGTCAGAGGAAAGCGTCAACGGGAATGACGAAGAGCTGGGAGGACGACATTGACTCTGGAGTGGGGAGGTGGTGGAAGTAGAGAAAGAGAAGTGAACCAGAGTCACGAAGTCAGGTGGTTGTGACAAGTCACTGATTTGTGGACTTCGTCGTTTTTTCACAGCTTCGCTTACGGCTCTCACCATCGCGGACACTTTGTCGCAGCTTTGTCGCCTCCACCTGTTGCTCCCGATGCTCTACCAGTTGTTCACGCCATCGTTTAAGGCCATCCCAGGCGCTTCCGACTTCCATAGGCCGCCACCCTCCACCTTCAAATTGTCCTTCTATGATACATAGCCCGAGCCTATCGACTCCGACTGCAATTCAGTACAGGAATCTTCGGCTCTGGGTGGCGCTTCGAGGCGGCGGAACCACCCATTGAGAACCAGCACAGTCAAGCTTCCTTGTGCAACCTATGTCTCTGGCTTGTAAGTCGGGGCTTTCCCACCTTCGTTGCTAGGTGCGTGGTCTATAATGTAGTCGCTGTTTCACACTGACCACAGCGTGAGCAGGGATCGCTGGTGGTATGAGCAGGTTGCGAAGGTGCGCTCTTTTGTTTTGTCTCATTTTACTCTCTGCTGACGTTCTTTAGGTTTTGCCAACAAGCAGGGCCGCCGAGGACTCGCTCTTCAGTCTCTATGTATGTCCGGACTCCGATCCTTTCTCATCCATTCTAAAACAACTACCAAAACTCAGCGCTCTGGCTCAACAGGAAAACCCAAGGTTGTTGTGCACACCACCGGCCGGTACCCTCTGCGCCGCTCTCCCATTAAGTACGACTTTGACGTCCACCCCGGCGAACGTTTCGCGTGCATGGCCGTTGCGTATTGGATTACTGGACATGGGTGCGTCTCTTCCTGCTTTCTGTTTTCCTTTCCTTCTTTTACTTAAACAGACGCCGATAGTACGTCGTCTACGACCCTCAACGGCGTGATCGCGCTTTTGAAAGCACGCCTGTCGACCCGTCCCCTGCGCGCTACTGGGAGGCTCTCACCAAGCACAACATAACGTAGATTACAAGGCCCCTTGCAATTAGACTGCTGCGCCGACTCGGCGCGCATCACGTCTCGGCACACGAGCTTTCGGACGCTGCACCTTTTCACCTACGTCGACGAGTCTCCAGGTGTGTGCGGTTATTCAATTTCTTCTTTCGTCGCCCCTCAACTTTCGCTCATGGGCGCTCAGGCGAACTGCTCCATCGGCATCACGCGCTTCCCTGGTGCGAGCCGGCAGGGCGACTGTCACATTCTTTCGA